TTCGGGACACGTGATGTAAGCCTCGAACTCGTGGATATAAGCTGGCCCGAACAACGCAATCACCGGCACAAGTATTGGCACTCGAATTCACGTGTTTCGGCTAGGGATGTTGGATGGAGTGGGATGGGAATGTTAGCTCAATCACCGGCCTTGTGAGGCACTCGAATTCAAGCTAAGATTCAGTGGGTGAGATGGGAATAAGGAGGAAAGGTTTTCGGACAAACCGAAAGCTGGCTCGGACACACCGAAGCCCTTCGTCGGACACACCAACGGGGATAACGGTTTGGAGATTACAACTCAACAAACACAGCAATCTTAAGCTCGAAAATGGCAATAGATTTCTTAGGTGGTGAGTTCTGAAAACTTACAAGAATAAATAGCAATCTTAAAACATTCTCAACAACTCTTTGCATTCAATGCTAGGCAAGCATGCAAGCTTGGCAATTAATGCTCTCTTAAGTGTAGAATATAGCTGTTGGATTATGACATAATCTACTTATTTCTTCAGCAATATTATGGACGAAAATCTTCAATAAATGGCGTGCATGGGCTGCTCCAAGATGGGTTCGGCTCATGTCCTTGGAACAAAGTTCGTTCAGCATGTTGGAGACGGACAAGGTGATGCGTTCTCGAAGGGCACGGGTCTTGGCTCAAGTAAGGGGTGGATCGGGCCTATGGGTATGCCTCGGCCTTGGCTCAACTAGAAGATCCACATCACTATTGACTATATGCTCGACATTAGGAAGCTTCGTGCGTTCCAAGCTATCTCGTTCCCGCTCTGGACGCTCCAAGCTATTCCGCTGAGCTCCGTGCTCCGTGCTCCCGCTCCAGGCTATCATTAGCTCCATGAGTTCCTTCACTTCCATGATATAGTTTGATGAATCACTCTGCTTTCCGAGGTCCTCATCAACACGTCTGGGCACGTCCCTCTTGGTCTCCCCGAGCTCCCCTTGCACTGGTCCGTCCCCTTTCTCCCCCTTTCTCCCTTTTTCCTTCTTTCTTTGTTTCTGTCCGAAAATGGCTAAATGCAAGAGTTGGGAGGTGTTTATGGTGCGAGAGAGAGGCTAGATGGGCTTGAGCCCAGGCCCATAGGCGAGCCTGCAACGTCCTCGAGACGTGGGAGGTGGCTGGGCGGCGAGTGGGGCCCAAACTCCGGCGAAGTTCGCGTCTCAAGACCGCAAGTTGGCAACTTGCGTTTTCTGTCGATCCCGGTCCGCCGGACCAACCTCCTGGTCCGCCGGACCGAACACACTTTTATTTTATTTGGCAACTTGCGTTTTCTGTCGATCCCGGTCCGCCGGACCAACCTCCTGGTCCGCCGGACCGAACACACTTTTATTTTATTTTTTTCGAACCTTTCTCCCCAGTCCGCGCTGTCCAGTCCGAGTCCGCCTGAGCGGTTGGTCCGCCGCGGACCGTTCCTGGTCCGGCGGACCAGCCCTGTTTTTTTTTCTTTTTTCTTTTTTTTTTCATTCTTTCTCGGTCCTTTCCGCACGTGACGATCCTCGTGCCTCTCCCCGATATTGTATCATCACTTTTGGTGATTTCGTGATATCTCTATTTAATTATTCATTTTTAATAATTAAATATTCAAATCGGGTTTCGGGGTATTACACTTTCCTCCTCCAGACTTGTCTCCATCTTGGAACAAGTGGTACCTGATTTCTCCTCCAGTAGCAGTTCACTCTGATATGTCCTCTTTTGCCACAATGAAAGCAACTCTTGTGCTCACGGTACTGTTGTCTGGGATGAAGATCAACCTTGATTGTTGGAGTATTTCTGACTGGAACAATCTTCTCATATCCAAGATTTCCTCCTGAAACAAAGCTTCCTACTTTGTTAGCACTCCCTCCAGTATATCCGAGACCAGCATGTCCAGAATCAGTTCGTCCAATCGTCAGAAGATGCTCAAGTTTTTCTATACCACTTCCGAGCATTCTTACTTTCTTCATAGTCTCATCGAGCTGACTTTGTAGTAAGGTGATCTTTTCTTCTTTTTCTTTCAGCTGCTTCTTTAGATCAATGGTCGTTGACTCCTTCTCCTTTTGTTCTTTGATCAACTGTTTCTTCAGGTCAGTGATTGTTGATTCACTCTGTTTCTGTTCCTTGATCATCTTCATGTTCATATCGTAAAGCTTTGTCATCTCTTTGTACAGATCTGCTTCACTAACCTCCTCTTCTTGTTCCTCATGTTCTTTTGTGTCACCAAAGAGTGCAACAAAATTTGAGTGTTCTTCTTCTTCATCTTCATCATATTCAGTTTCCAACTCTTCGTGAGTGAGTGAAGGTTTTCCTTTTGACTTTCCACCAGCACACTCGTTCTTCATATGTGATAACATGTATTTTGGTGATATTTTGGTATAAGATGTCTAGTGCATTTTACTCGGTTTTGCATATTTATAGGCATTCTAGAGTATATTTGGTCTCGATATTGCTTGGTTGCTTTCTTTGGTGTCAAAACAGGTATTCATGCATAAAAGAGAGCAAAATGAGTGGAAAATATGGACTACAGAACATCATAGACGAAATGAGAACATTTGGAGTTGTTCCGTGAAAAAACACGAAGCCTAAAAAGTCAGATCTTTCAAGTCTAATAACTTCCACTCTACAAGTCCAAATTGTGTTTTATCTACTTCATTGGAAAGCTCTCTTCAATATCTACGCATAGACACCAAGATCTCACAAATCCGACATTGGAGCAGAAAGATATGAGCAAATCTGTCAAGCATGTTCGAGTTGAAGAATCGACACGGACCGTGTTGAATTCGACACGGCCGTGTTGATTCAAACTCGCCCGTGTTCAGTCCATGTCTAAAGTGCAGATTTTTAACAGAGAATTGACACGAACCGTGTTGCATTCGACACGGCTGTGTTGCATTACGGGAAAACTTCCTATTTTGCATCTGGACTTCCGTTTTCAGCAAAGGAAGAAGCCCAGCTGCCAAGCAAATAAATAGAGGACGTCTTAGACTTCAGAAATCATCGAGAGATCACAGCAGAAGCCAGAGAACTCGAGAGAGAATCAAGACGGAGTTTCCCGGGAGCAGAGATTGAAGAATCGTCGTCGAGAGATCGCTGCGAGTCTTCTTTATATGTTTCTATGTTTCTTCTTATTGATTTGAACTCATTTGTTGTTATGGGTTGCGAGTAGTCGTTTCACTGTAGCTAGGGATTTGTTTGGTTTTTATTTTCCGAGACTACGTTATCGATACTCGGTGGTTTAATTGAATTGAGTTTATTGCTTTTGATCTTCTTGGCCAGTTGATTGATTGATTTTAGATTCTGATTTACAACGAGAGTTGAGATTAGATTCGGAGAGAATTCATTGAATGAATTGATTAAGACTATTGAGAGATAGGTTAATCGGTTTAGGAACTCTGATAGTGATCGTTTATGCGTTTGATATTTTAATCTATTAGGTTGAGAGATCGATAGGTTACATTATTGGATAGTGGATTTAGGACTTGAGAAAGCCAAATCCGATATTAGAACTTGAGATCCCCGGTTAGAGTTCGATATTCGTAGATTCTCCATCCTTAGAAACAATCCCTGCGCATTAAGGTTATCCCGAAGCTACGGTGATTTAGTTATCTGATTTTCTTTAGTTAGTTCATTGTTTTATTTTCGATATTCACATACTTCATTCTATATTTCCTGATCTAATTCTTGGTTGAGTCTTATTTCTAAAGTTAACTATTTTCTGTGTTCGACCCTGGTACTACAGTTGATCAGTATCCTTGCGGTATTCGTTGTATCTAGGTTTTTATTACTTGAGTTTATTTATATACCTAGATTTGCGTTATCAATATGACCATAGCCTTTGCATTCATAACATTGAAGATCATTTAGATTCCTCAACATTGCTTCTCTCTTAGCAATGTTAGGACACTCAGCTTTCCAATGACCAGCTCCCTTGCATTCGAGACACTTTCCAGTGTTTTTCAGCTCAGATTTTCCAGCAGTCACTGGTTTTTTCTTGAAAAACCTGTTGAACCTTTTTACAATCATAGGGGGAGAAATGACGCAAAGACGGTGTATGGTTGAAGATGCTAAGGAATGATGCATGGTCAAAAATATTAAGAATGACACCGAGGAGCCAAGTGGATGATTGTGCTAAGGAATGTATATCAACATGAAGTCAAAAAGGAGAAGAAAGTTAATGTTGGAAAGAGCATCAAGAAAAGATTCAATATCTAGAAGATCTCAAAAAAAAAAAAGAAAACATGTCAATATGAAGAAATGGAATGAACAATCAACAAATGAATGAATTTGAAGAAGAAAAGAAAACATGTCATTGAAAAAGAATGAAAATCTTGAAGAAAATGAACGAAGCTCAAAAGAAAGAAAAACACAATATTGGAAAGAAGATGAGGAATTGCATATAAATATAGGATGTGGGAACTGCAAAAAGGTAGAGAGATGGATAGAGAAAAAACAGAGAGAGCTTGAGTCTTGAGAGCATTGGGCAGAAATATATTTGTATAGAAAACACGAGTGAGAGTTACTTGTGAGACAGTGAAGTGTATCTTAGGAAAGCCTTCAAATAACAGGCAAACTGTTCAAAAAGCCTAGACGAGTCCAGGGTTACACGGACTAGACAAACCTAGACGAGGCATACATAGTTTATGAACTGATAGAATTCATGTTATAAGGGAAGAACAAATTCAGTGGGGTTGTGTTCTTGGGATAGATTAGATTCGAACGAAAAAAGTGTAATTCATATTCTTTACAAATGAATAAAATCAGTTTGGAAGTTTTTGAAAGTGGTATATACATATATATATATATATTATGTATATGTGCATATATGAATTATGTATAGTGATATATACACGTATACAAATTTGTTCTACTAGTAGTCCGCGTTTTGCTGGATCAATTTTATCTGTCCTTTGTGGGGGTTTGGGGATGGGAAAACTAATTCTTTTCTGGCTCCCATGTCCCATAGGTTGTTGTATATCGTTACATTGGACCTATGCGGCTGTTCATAGAGGCTATGCTCGAGGGAACTGTTTACCCAAATCCTTTAGGTCATCATATTTTTGCATAGTATGTGTTATTCTCTCGCATTCAGGCAAATTGAAAATACATAACGACGTCAATATCCATATGAAACATTGGCACACGCAGGTTGACGACTAAGACTACGACTGGTGGAGTAAGAGAGCGTCCAGGTTCCGTTTCCCTTCTGGACCATCTGAGTACCATGATGATACATACTCGCCGTACACAATTTCCCGGTAACGTGCAGGCAAGCCTTCACTGATAAGTTGAGGAGTTGGGGATATCTTTGCTGTCTTGGAGGGGTCATGAAAAGTTGCAACCGATAAACGCGCTCGATTACCGTTGGTGATGGCTCTGTGTTGAGCACTTTTGTATGTGCCGTTCGTTATGATCTGCGGATGATGAAACCGGACAAGTCAATCCAAATTCTGGATGCCAAAGGGACGAGAATGGAGTCAGCCAGAACAAACAGTGGAAGGAACCTATACAAGATTGACCACAGGGAAGCCTAAAGACAGAAATATCAGCCATGGCATCGACAACCTCCAAAGACCTGGTAAAGAAAGCGTACCTCGGTTTGATCTGCTAAAAGGACGAGCACAGCATCGGACATGGGAGTAACAGTGAGCCAGTGGCCATCTTTGAAAAGCTCAAGGCCTCCGACATCGTCTTGAATCAAGAGGGTAATTGCACCCATATCGGAATGCGACTGGAGACCAAGAGTGAGCTCAGGCTGAGGACAAGGCGGGTAGTAGCTAACCGTGATATTCTGATAGATTTCCCCAACAGCATCTCCGATGCACGAAGAAGGTAGGCCAAGGCTCTCTGAAATAAGCTCCAACAGCTTCTGAGCCAACGCCTTCATCTCCTCACTGAATTCTGTCACTACTTGCCTGATTCAACAATCAGTGCCACCAGAATCAGAACCAGATAATGCCTTCAGTACACTTGTGCGTGTGTGTGTGTGTGTGAACACTGAAAGGAACAGAAACAAGGAGCTACACCTGTAAGAAGGCGGATTGAGGGGCCAGCGAGAAGGGTCACGGCGAGAGAGAGGGAAGGTATGGTGGTCGAAGTAATCCCTCCAGTCCAAAACATCGTTGTTCTTGGAGCCAAGTAACATGCGCCTGCCGTAACCCTCGGAGGCGGCGGAGGTGGAGTCACAGGCGTAACGGAGCTTCTCTTCGACGGGACAATCCCTGAAAAATGAGAGACCCAATGACCTCATCTGATTCAGAAGTTGGATCGGAACTCCATGGTTGACCACATAGAACGCCCCCCAGCGGTGGCATGCGCTACCGATGGCCTCCCTCGCCGACTCGAAGCTGCTGGACAGATCGACGGTCGGGATTCGAGCAACATCCTCGGCCTTAAGGAGTTTCGGTCGAAGCTCCGGTGGCTGAATATACTGCGGAGGGATCTCCCGCAGCCCTCCTTTCGCCAACATTTCTACTCTCGACGTCGTTTCCATATTGATCGGCAACGCCAGAGGATCCCCAATCCTCGATGGATCTGCTTCCACGGTTTTATATGTGTCTCTGATTGATATGGTGAGAGGGAAAGACTTTGGAGAGAGGGGGTTTGCCAAAAGGAATTGGCAAATTCATTGAAAACCCTAGATTTATGACGAAGAGGGGGAAAAACAAAGAAAAACATTTTTCTCGGGAAAAAAAATATATTTATATTTTTTCAGCAAATGATGATTTTTTTTATTTAAGCATGAAGGGATAGATTTTTTAGTTTTTAATATTTTTTATGCGATATTTTCTACAGGTCTATGGCTCTATAACCCTAGAAATGAGCTTTAGAGTCGGAATATAATGATGTTATGGAAACAGCATTTTTTTTTGGTTAAATGATTATGGAGACAGCAATCAGCATTACGTAACATATTTCTTCTTTTGGTAAAATTTGTAATGTAAAGGCCAAGACAACGAAAATAAAAGCAACAATAATTCCAGCAGGAAGAATAAGTTCCAATACCTCATTGACATTAATGGTAACAAAAATATAATTCACTTTTCTTTTGGATTCTAGAATGATCTGTTAAGGTTGTTATTGCAGGTAGATCTGAGAAGATTCTAAAGCTGATTTTGTGGAAGAGATAAAGATGGAATCTTGGAGATAGTTTGGCCAACAACCTTGGAGAAAAAGATAGAATCAAATCAACAAACAATTGGAGCTGAAGAGAAAGCTATATAAGAACGATAAAGAGGAAGAAAGGAGACACCGAGCTTAAAAGATTATCATTCAGAGAGTATAAGAGTTTTTGGTCTTTATGTTTTTATTTCTGGTGAGTGAGATCGTTCTGAGGGAGAGTTCTCAACAGTAATCTGAACAAACCCAGAACGTGAGAGTGGGGATTCACACGGGTTATGTGTTGAATCAGTAGATTTCGTGTCATAGGAGGGCTAACACTCAGGGGGAGTGTGGTGCGTCTGGGTTTTACTGCAACTATCTCTATGTTGTAGTAGTCAGATTTCCTTGAATGAAACGAACTGATTTTGAGTGATATCTGAGTGCGTCAGTTATTTCATGATCCATTTTGACGAAAAAACCTTGTTGATTCACATATAAATAGAGTCACTATGAACTGAAAATAGTGACGAAAGACAGAGAGAAAATATGAAGAGTAAAAAAAAATTGTTATTGATATTTTCGGTCAAAAGTGTACACCATGTTTCACAGTCTCTCATCTAGTCACGGATAAGCGGGGTTAAAGAACGGGGAACTCCCTCTCTCCTACGCCAGCCAAAACCAACTCCTAACAAGTTGCTGGCTTTTCAGTCGTTGCGCTGTCTTCGAGACATTTCAGAGGTCTTTGGTACAATTCGCTCCCCCACAATGATGCTCTGTTGTCTTGGGGAGCGTTGAAGCTCGCTTCTTTTCCAGGGTTTTCTTACAAGATGATGCCGCCTCATCTCGAGTTCCTTTATTCATAGTCAAATCAGATGATACGCTTAGGCTTCAGATCCCTTTTTGGGGTATGACTAAATCGTCCGCAATCACAGCGATTGCGACTTCTGGCAATTACAGATGAATGAAAAAGTGAATGTTGGAATCGTAATCGTCCGCAATCGCAACAAAACATCAATATCCTAATCGCAGCTAAAAGATTGCGTTACTATAGCGTTTTGCAACGTTTTGGTTAAATAATTGATGTCGTAAATCTAGGTGCAGAAATATGAACAAGTAATAATATTCCTAAACTCAACAATTAACCGCAAGTGTACAGATCATGTGTAGTAGCTAGGGTCGAACACATGGACAAGTAGACAACGAATCAAATCTAAATCCAAGTCTAAATCCATAGAAAATAATGTGAGTGTGAGAAGGTAACAAAGCAAACGATAAAACGGTTTTAAAAACTATGAATGACAAACACTGCAAGCTTCGGGATTGCTTTACATGCAAGGATCTTTCAAAAGATGCAAACTTAGTGGTTTATCTATCCAATCCAGGGAATTCAAGCTCTGAGGTAGAAATTAACTCTCCCAAGTCTAATCTCACTATCCAGGTTTAATCCTACTAATCTCCCGATTCAATAGTCTAAAACTCTAGATGCATGAACGAACGTTATCATAATTCTTAGGCAAATACTCATCTCCCGATGTGATACCTGTTCTATTTATTGAATTAGTTCCAGGTTATAATCTCATATGTCTATGTGAATTAAAACCCTAAGTTCATAAAACCAAATGGCCAACGAGATCAAAAGCATTCAGAACAATTCAATAAACTGAATGGAATAAATAGATCCACAAAGTCTGGAAATAAAAACCAAAGATCCTTACATAGCAAATCCCTAACCTACCGCTATGGGACTACTCGCTAAACATCGAGACGTCAGGGTTCATATCAATACAATAAAACATCGTAAAATAGAAGAAAGGAAGAATGCTTAGTCGATTTCCCGGCTTCGTAATCTTCGTCTTCTACTACAATCTCTTGCCTCTTGATAATCTCACTATTTTCTTGTGCTCTAGGGTGTGTTTTATGTCAAAAGTCTGAATCTTTTCGACCTAGAGGTTTTCCCCTCTTATTTCACTTCGGTTTGGGCAAAATTAGAAGTTTTCCCGAATCTGAGGGTCGAACCGATCGTTTCGGTAAAGCCAAACCGATCGGTTACACTTTCTGAGCAATTTTCTAATTTCTGCGATGTCGAACCGATCATTTCGCTAAACCCGAACCGATCTTGTCGTGTTTCTAAGTAGTTTTGATGGGCTTCACGAATTTGCTCATAACTTCCTGCTCCGATATTGGATTTGGGTGTAATACCCCGTAACCCGATTCGAATATTTAATTATTTTCGGAAATAAATAATTAAATAGAAACATCGCGTTATCATCAAAACGGAAATATACAATAACAGGAAAAAGGAACGAGAAAACACCACGTACGAAGAGACGAGAAAAAGACGGAAAAATGTTGAAAACTTTGCCTAGACCGACCGGTATAGGGTGTGGACCGACCGGTCCAGAGACAGACCGAGGGTCGGACCGAACGGACCAAGAAACGCGAAGAAAAACTGAAGAAAAGGTCGCAGACCGAGCGGTCTAGAGCCAGACCGACCGGTCTGGGAGACCGACGAACAGAGGACGCAAGTGGCCAACTTGCCCCTTTCTAGCCGTCTGTTTTCTGCGATTTCAGGACCCATCGGCGTCCAATCGCCGCCCAACTCCGTCAGAATGTTGCAGGCTTAAAGATGGACCTGGGTTTGAGCCCAAACGGATTTCCTCTCGCTCTGTAAACTGAGCAGAAGCTCAGCCTTGCACCATTTTCGGACAAAATCAGAGAAAAGAGAGGGAGAGGAGAAACAGAGAGAAAGGGGCGAAAACCATGGAGAATCGACGCAAGGGAAGCTCGGGAACACAAAGGGGGACATCCCTAGAGTGTCTAGAAGAGATTTCCGGCAAGAAACAGATTGGAAAACACCTCAAAATACAGCCAAAACCAGATCTGAGCCGAAACAGAGGTGAGTGGCTCGAGTTCCATCTGTGTGAGCTCGTTCTGAGCGTGCTATTGTGTTATTTCGATGATTTGTTGATTGGATTAGATAGAGGACGTTTCAACGAATATTTAGCAATAAACGTTACTAAATTTGGTTAAGAAACGAGTGAGATATGGTCGATTGAAGTTGGACAAAAATCTGGAAATCGCGAAATCGCGATCTATTCTTCGCCCAACCTCTAGACCGACCGGTCTCGACCCGGACCGACCGGTCCAGACCAAAATACAGACCGAGAGGTCCCGGAATGGCACGGAACACCTAGACCGACCGGTCCAGGCCCTGGACCGACCGATCTAGGCCAGAATAAGAGGAAAATAACTCAGGATGAACTAGAAGACCTGGACCGACCGGTTTAGACCGAATTACGATGAAAATGGACAGAATGACCCCGGAAAAGGAATAGAGACGCAAGGATCGATCGACCCAGGATACAAGCTCATCCTTTGGCAAATCTTTGATTAGTTACACGCGGTGAGATGTGTGATCTAACGATGAGAGTGACTCGTTGTGTGATTATTCTGGGTAGTTTGCATGGCGTTAACCGGTATCTCGGTCAGGGCCGAATACCGCGATACGCGTGATTGTATTGGGAAGATATGCACGTTGATTGCCATGTTTGTAGCTCACTCTTGCGACGAGTGCAGCGTGATTGTGTTGTGATATAGTCGTGTGCGAAACGACGGCCAACGTCATGGACTTGACAGACGTGCGAGACGCCCCTTGACTAGGGCTATGGCAGAACCCTATGGTGGACTCCATACGGGTGTTGTGTTTATTGTGTCATGGACTTGACACGGCCAACGTCATGGACTTGACGGGCGTGTGAGATGCCCCTAGTCATGGACTTGACTAGGGTTATGGCTGGACCCTATGGTGGCCTCCATACGGGTATGTTCGTATTTCCGTTGTGTCATGGACTTGACATCGGAGGTCACGCGAGTGACAGACGCAGGAGACGCGCGTAGTCGCATGCGATGCGATGGTCAACGTCACGCGAGTGACGGGCGTGTGTGAGACGCTTCTGGTCATGTTGATATGACTAGGATCTTTGGCTAACCCTATGACGCGATGTCATATGGGTATGATTGTGTTTGACATATTTGTGACTGATGTGATGTGGTTATACATGGATATCATTGTTGTTTGTTGGTTGTGAATTATCGAATTAACACCGTTCTCGCTGAGAACGGGTTTACCGGGTTCAACCCGGGCTACTCACTAAGCAGTTGTGCTTAGCCTTCGTGGTTTACATTTTTTAGATCACGAGGATTACGCCTAGCGCACCCGGCAGACGACGACTTGAGAGAGACAGCATGATGTACGGGATTTACATTTTGGGTTACGAGACTTGTATTTTCCGCATTTTGTACGGTTAATTATAACTATTCGGACATGTGTTATTTTGCGATACTGATCGTCTGTTGTATTTTCCGCTGCTTACTCTGGTTTGTTTAAAAATATTTTTGGATTTCGTATTTTTGCTCCCACATTATTATTTTATTACTATTTGTCCATGTGGCACAGCCCGTATATTGTACACGGGTTACAGGTGTCACAACTTTTGGTATCAGAGCCACGTTCTTTCTTCGGGAAGGAATCGTGCTCATTACCCAACGGT